CAAGCGAAAACAAAATGCGGCAGTGTATACGAGACGGTAGCTGCCTGTTGCAGCCGATCCCGAACCGAACCGGTTCTTGATGCTGCTCAAAAATGCTCCTCGACCGGCTATAATAATTTTAATTGACACCCAGACCAGACCGCTGAGTATCCTCGATCGTTGTGTATGTACAGACTGCTCCATATGTGGTGTTATATACAGCAACTGGAAAATGAGCATTCTTTATATTTTTTCAATTTACAAGAAAAAGGAAAACCGTGTACGAATGATTCTAAAGTTAAAGTTCGGTTGAGAAAAAGAAAAATGAAAACTGTATTTTAACTTTCGGGAACTAGTTGTTATACAAGAAATACATAAATATACTTAAATTGTAATAAATATATTAATTAATACTTTTTTTTTCTTAACCTCACAAATGCAATTTTATTTAGCAAAGAACAGTATTAATTATTGTAATTGCCCCGATTTTTTGACTAATTAAGTAATCTGTGATTATCCCCAAAAAAGGGAAGGGGGCCTCAGGGGTGGTCACCCTATCAGGAGATACGAAATCTTTGAAACATTAATTCTATTAACCACATAAAATGAAACTGTTAATAAATTTAGATTAACTTATATGTTAAGTGTAATATCAGTAAGATTTGCATTTTACTTTACGTAACTGAAAGGTCGTAAATTTATTAAGTAACGTGTCGTTAAATTTTATTTTTATCTGTTAAACGTGCATACAGAATTAGATACGCGATATTATGCTTTTACTAATGTATTGTATGCAAATGTATGCTTTGTCTGGTAAATGAATACATTTACTAGAAATAGTAGTCATTTTTATATTTAGATGATATTTTTGTTCAAAACTTTGCTGAACGCATACATTGACTGATAAGTGCAGGCATTTATTAAATTCTACAAATTAACAGTTATTTGAACGACGTATAACAGTTGATGTAATTTTTATTCAGTTTTCATTTGTTTATTAAAATTTTTCTCTTCTCTTACACGTTTAAGTTTTTCACTTAAGAAAGATTCGTTAAAAAAACATTAACTCCAATTCCTATCTTTGTTATGATTGGAGTAAATGATCTGTTACTAAATTTCCTAACGTCTCTAACGTGCGAAGAAATATAAAAACGATGATTTCAATGACCCCAATTACAAATTTCATCCGAGAACGATTATATATCGGTTAAAAGTCAAAGGGTACGAACGATGTGGAAAGTAATTGGCCAAAAGATTTTCACGCATTAGAACTATAAAGGAACGCGTGTGTTCGATGTTGGCACGCATTCATAACCTCACAACAGGTACACTCGCGATCAAATCAAGTTTCCCGGGAAAAAATTTTAATTGGTATTTATTTATTATTCATATTTCTTGGTTATATATTAACTTGTATATTTAATAATTAAAAATTACATTATTTTCTTTCTAAATCAATTTTAATATTAATATCGTCAAAATTAAGATTTAGTGAATTCCTCCCTTCCCTCTATCGCCATTTTCCCTATGGAAGTCTGATTTGATCGTGAGTGTACAGAAAATATGTGTTCGTGTTCAGGTTACGTGTCCGTGTTGAAAAGATATTAAACATGTGTGCAGTTAGGCCTGTCTTGGGACCATTGGCTCGGGTGAAAGGAAAACTCGCGCCTACTGTCCAAGTGAAACAGAGGGAGAAAGATTCCACATCGAATCTAGTATTTTTCATATGTATAGACGTGACAGAGAGGCGAGGAAAGCTTCTATACAATATCTTCGCGTATGTCTTGATTACATAGTGAAAAGTCAATTACTACAGTATGAAACAATATGATAAATAATTTTTTTAATGTAATAGTATCAGAAAATATATAATTTAATGAATTCTGTATATAGTAGATATATATAAATCTTTGTAATTTAAATCTTATCAAAATTATATAAACGGTTTCTAATCGATGATTTAATTAATCTACCAGTTCAGACTTATTTTACAGTTAATTAAAAAGAGAAAACTATGTATAATGCCAGGAATTTGAAGGATTTTTTTTCATTTGAATAAACTTGTGATTAACTTCTGTCGGTACCGTGTACTAAAATCAAATGTCTGTTGTACACATTTATCCTTCGTTAATATTGCTTTAGAAAGCGTACTCAGTTCCCGATAGAAACAACCTTTCACATTACCGATATGCAAGTCTTTCTATGAAACATACGTCAGTTGATTACTATTAAAATTTATCTGTTTCGACTAATCAGCGTACAATTGTAAAATTAATTGCGATGATTTATCTTCGGGTGTCTGTGTTTATTCGGATCGTGTTATTTAAAAAATCTGTTGTTCCTATTTACGTTGTTGGAATTCTTCAATATTTCGATTGCTTCATAATGTTTTCTTAATGATATCAATCCGACTCGATCCTGCCTTAAAGGTCAATTTCTTAAAGGTCAAAGCTACCCAAAAAAAAAGCATCACACTAGCTATACACGGTGGTCCGTCATTACAAGTTAGAGCTCAGAATGTTCTGCATTAAAAAAAAATATTTGGATAGAATTTTGAAAAAAAATTAAATTCTTCCATTTAGCAATTCAATCTGGACCGATATATCGTACTATTAGAAAGTAAACTGAATAAGATTGATTTTCTACTTTCTTGACAAAGTACATGACAAACGATGACGTTTTAGTTGGCTCACATTCTGTCGATAGCGAAGAGACTAACGTAATAGGAAAATAAACGTGGCTTCCCGTATTTCTTTCATGGTCATTCCGAGTCTCGATCGAGGCGTACAGTATATACGACCCGCTCAAAATAGAGCCGGCGTGTACTCTTAAGGTCATCGATCCCTCTTCCGCGTCACCTGCCATGCTTACACCTTCTATCGAGACACGAACATTCTATCACACGACAGACAAGCGGAAAATTCATTTTCAGCAAACTCGATTCGCCGATAAAATAGAATGGTATTTTTGTTTTTTTTCGATCAATCGTAAAGAAGAAGTATTCGAGGAAAGAAATTAGAACTGAAATCTTTTCTTTCAAATATTAAATTTCAATTAATTAAATAAACAGTAGTAATAAATAGTACGTAGAAATTGATTTGTTGAAATTTATCTACCGGCTCTATCTCTTTCTTTCGACCGAGGTTCACACTCGTGCAATGGGAATGGAATGCCTATCAGATACCGATACGTTTCCCACGTTATTGGCTATTACGCAGTGGATATCAATTCACGCATAAAATAATTTTATTTTCTGTTCCTTTCATGTATGTTTAAACGTTAAATCAATTCGTTGACCTTTTATTATTCGACTCTCGAACGGCGGACTCAATTTTCTTTTTTAGGTAACCCGGACCTAACCTAACATAACCAAACTTAAACTCGCTTCTGATAAAATTAAAATTAGATTTGAGTTAGATCATTTTTGAAGAGGGGATACAGGAGGGAATCATTGAAATTACACGTGGTTCCATTATCGTGAACATAATTCACCATTTTTAGAAACAAACCGCGCAGCCGTTAGCTCATTCGTCGCTCAGCTTTATACAGGTCGCCTTTAAGCAATGTCATTGGCCGGTAGCTATTCGTAACATGTTTCCATACACCAGAAGACTCGAAATCAGTTATGTAATCTTTACGAGCATAACAACACGTACGAGCCACTAAAATAGATGTACTTTCACAGTCAACTACGTAATTCAATTTTTAAATTGATTCATACGTAGAGGTTAGGAAATTTGTGATTTAAAAATTTAGAAATTAAAATGTGCAAGTGTACGATTTATTCGGATATTGAATTTCGTAATTGAAGGAAAGTTACTAGCCGAATGTTTCGATAAATTCGAAACGTCGAACTTATGGATTTAATGAAATACAGGAAAAAGAGCGATGCTGGTGCATCGCGGTGGATGGCATGGCGGGTGGCGTGGCCGGTGTGCCAGTCAGAGTAGGGAGAAAAGACCTTGAGTCGCGTCACGTGACCACGAAGGTACATTGGAGTTGGGTAGGGCGGTTGCAGAGGGCCTTGACCTTACCATCGGCGTCGCAGCCGTACTTATAACTACCATCGTCGTGGCCTCTACGAACCTCCAAGAGTATCGATACAACCGTCGTCTCATGCTCGATGTCCGTCTTCTTCGAGTGACTAATTCCCTAGGAAAACTCGAACCAATCGAAATCTATTACCCGATAGATAATACACGAATGTGCTCGAACATTTCTTTTGACCGATTGCTTGTCTTTTTTCATTCAACAGAACATTGCATTTTAAAAATGCAATTTACTGAAAATATAGTAGTACAGAATATTCAAGTATACTCTGGAAATATTGTAGTGCGTTAAACTGTGCTCCGGAGAACGTTAGCTGCGCTTCCATCTAACGGGGACAATTTTGTACCGGTTTTTCCTCGTCTGGTGCATTATACCGTGTTGTGTGATCAGCTGCAAACAAAAGGTGCGAGTACGCAGCGCGTTTGCGTTTCCGCACGAAGGTCGATTAAAGTCTTTAGCTTAGCCGGACCGGAAGTGGACCGGCCTTGCGGGACGGCCGTCTGTGCACACTAGTAGAACTCGAATGTGTGCAATCACTTCCATAGCCTCCCTAGACGACCGGTAAAATCCTTCTTGCGATGCATCTTAATTCAACCTGATATGTAATTCTTTTTATTTGAATATTTATTATTATTCGTAATATCTGTTTCTTTACGATGGCTTATACTAATAATATCGCTCTGTATAATAAAATAAATTAACAGCTCGGTGCATGTTAATTGTAAATATTCTGCGATATTGTTTATTTTTATTAAAATACTCAAATTTACATACAGAATAATTCACTTAGGTAATAAGACTGTTATAAATTTACCATTTCTTTGTACGAGATTTAATCTTATAAATTGCAAAAAATTTCACAAAGTATTTAAAAATTTTTAAATAAAAAAATGAACTTTAGTACGTTCTAATCTCAAAATTGTTCTTTAATGATATTTTTCTAATTACGAATTTCTTTGGCTTGTTTCCAGACCCAGCCTTTTCCTAATGTACGAATTCGAGCAGATGTGATCGAGGGGAGTTGGAAGTTCGCTCAAGGGTCGCGGGGACTGGTAACCGCAGCTAGAGAGGTTCTTCCCAGGATGCCGCAAGGTTTCGCGACCGTTCAAAGACTTGGAGTCGCGTCACGAGCGTGTAATAGAATAACGAGCTGAGGATGTCGGAGCAAAACGGGCCCAGCGAGGGCCCAGGACCAGGTCCGGGTCCGGGACCGGGACCCGGTTGGTGGCCAGCCTCGCAGTCCTGGAAGACGAACTCCTGTACGTCCGTCTCCTCCTCGTCGACTACTTCCACTGCTCCAGACAGCTCCGCCTCCGTCTCTGTCTCCTGCACCATTTCTACCTCTTCCCTGACCACCACCACTTCCACTTCTTCCTCGACCAGCTGCTGTTCCTCGACTCCTAGCGGACCCTCGTGCACGATCACTGCTGCTCGTTCCTCGGAAACAGGGAAAAACGTTTCTGTCACGACTATCAACGTACCGAATAATCAGGACATACACGATGGTAATTAATTGTACCATATGTTTAACCCTTGAACAGCGGAGCCTGAGTCGATCGTGGCTTTAACATAAAAATAAATGTATAATTTTTAAACGAAAAAGTTTCATCGTATTAGGAAAATAATTTTTAAATAGCGGTGGTTAAATTTAGAAAGTGAAAATAAATTGAAATGTAAGTTGGGCCTCTCTCCGTGGTCCGCCGTCTAAGGGTAAAAAACCTATCGACGGTATCTGTACCTGAAAACTAATCGCTATTTCGCATAATCGTTAGAAATCACTGAGATAGGTATATAACATTGATATTTGATATTTAGGCAAAGGTATCTGCAAGTACCTTACCGGCCAGAATGGCGTCACAGTGTCGGTAGTTTCGAGCTGTGGCTCCGTGTTGGACTGTGGAAATGCAAACGTTGTATCCACCACAGGGATCGGCATCAGCAGCGGGTCGCACAGCATCGGTATCGGTATAGGTGTCAATGTCCTTCAGTCTCAGAACACCGGGGACGATGATGCGGAAGATAGCGATGTTGAAATAAGCAAGATTGATTTTCGCGGGGTGAATCTGCGTACGAAGAAGAAACGAGACGTGCCGGTGAACCAGGCTGGAGAGAAAATAGGCGACGTAGACGCCGAAGATGGAAATTGCTGTTACGATGGAAACGATATCTCCCAACAGCAGCCAGAAAGACCCATGTCGTGGGAAGGTGAATTGTCTGATCAAGAAATGTCTTCCAATACAATTACAAATCAGGTAGGTGTAAATATACGTAAAAGTGTCATAGTAAATTAGTCCTTTGATTAATAAGTTCTCACAATAAAAATGTTTTTTTCTTTTTTTTTTTTTTGTATTATAGGATACGCACGAAGACACATCCATGGAAGGTGTCCAAGTATGCAGCGCAAGTCCAGGTCCTATGGAGCAAAAATTTCCTATAAAACCAGAGCCAGACTTTCGGTCTAGTCCGGGATTTGCATTTGGTTCTTTTCACGATACTGGATTACCTTTGACCCATGGCCAGCAGATGCAGCAACAACAACAGCAGCGCAACATAGAGAACCTTGAACAGACGCAACAAAATGATTTGCCTCTCCTCGTAGGGAAACTACTGGGTGGTTACAACAGTTCAACTCCAAATCACAGTCCTGTGTTGAATCCTAGACATCATTTGACTAAACATAGTCATACGAGATCGCAGGTAGATGACTTTGTTTATATCGGCCTTGTAAATTTATCAGCTACCCGGTAATTTCTACACGCGTGTACTTTTGAAATTGATCAGGTGCCGTCTCCAGACTCGGCGATTCACTCTGCGTACAGCGTATTCAGTTCGCCGACGCAAAGCCCTCATGCAGCTCGTCATTCCGCTTTAGGAGCAGGAAGTCCAGTACCATCTTCGTCGCTTTCTCTGTCGCGACACAGTTTCAACAATTCAACATCCTCGTTATCGTTGTCGCTATCTCATTCTCTCTCGAGAAACAATTCGGATGCCTCGAGCAGCTGTTACAGCTACGGTTCTCTCAGTCCACCCACGCATTCACCCGTCCAACAACCAAGACATCCGCAGCATCATCAGCATCAGGTAGCTCAGGGAAGTCCGCTTCATCTGCCGGCAACAGCCCCGTCCGCGATTGCTCATCATTACTCTTCCTCTACACCGGGTTCTGAACTCTCACCTGAAGGGCATACCGCTCCCGATGACCAAGAAGACTGTCGAATACCCTCAGCGCCTTCGAGTATCTCTACTAGGCAACAACTGATCAATAGCCCCTGTCCAATTTGTGGCGACAAGATAAGCGGTTTCCATTATGGAATCTTCTCCTGTGAATCGTGTAAAGGATTCTTCAAACGCACCGTCCAAAACCGAAAGAATTATGTGTGCCTTAGAGGCGCGGGCTGTCCAGTCACCGTCGCCACCAGAAAGAAGTGCCCGGCCTGCCGCTTTGACAAGTGCCTCAATATGGGTATGCTTCTTTCGTTTCTTCTTTTATTCCTTACAATATTTTAATTTTCTTTTAAAAAATGCAATGTCATCGATAGGTATGAAACTCGAGGCTATTAGAGAAGATCGCACCAGGGGCGGTCGAAGTACCTATCAGTGTACGTACACTCTTCCTGCGAGTCTCGTGAGCAATTCCGCGAGCGGCATGACCGGTGAGAAATTGACCACGGGAGGTAATTGTAGTCCAGCTCCACCTGGTAGCGAGCATCATTATAGCAGCAGGCATCACTCGCATAAGATGCAGATGGTGCCGCAACTTTTGCAAGACATTATGGACGTAGAACATTTGTGGCATTACAATGATAACGATCGAATGTCTGGAATTCAAGCTGGAGGAACGAACGCTACTAGAAACAACGATGCGATGTTATTGGGAGTTGGAACTGGTGGTGGATCTGGTACGGGAAGCGATGCAGGTTCGAGAGTTGAACGTTCCACCAATGGAACTGCTGGGAATGGAAATTCCAACAATAGAAGAGACGATAGGCCTAACGTTTCTAATGTTAACAGTGAACAACGAGCTACATCTGTTAACAGTAGTTCCCAGATCGGTAATAACACGAATGGCAACTCTACCCAACATCCTGATTTCCTGTCGAACCTCTGCAACATTGCTGATCATCGATTGTACAAAATAGTGAAATGGTGCAAGAGTCTGCCGCTGTTTAAAAATATATCCATCGACGATCAAATCTGTCTGTTAATTAACTCTTGGTGCGAGCTATTGCTCTTCTCGTGCTGCTTTCGCAGTATGAGTACTCCCGGTGAAATCAGAGTGTCTCTGGGCAAGTCGATCACATTAGAGCAGGCTAGACAGCTTGGCTTAGCGACCTGCATCGAGAGGATGCTCGCATTTACTAACAATCTGAGAAGGCTAAGAGTCGATCAGTACGAATATGTAGCAATGAAGGTAATTGTTCATTGAAAAATTCACCAATGATCCTAAAGTGAATGATACAAATGTTCTCTTCTTTGGTCATTTTTAAAAGGAATATAAATATTGTAACTATAAAACAAACAGTAAAAAGTGTTGAAAGAGTTTTGCTTTTCAATTAATTATATCGTTTAAATATTTTTTATGTATAGTACCGAGGATGATAAACTTCTCTAAGAATTTTATATTAGGATTTTAAAAATTCCTTCTTCTCGCCATTTTCTCTAGTGAAGTCCCTTTTATTATTTGAAAGATTATATGTTGTGATTGTGACAAAGAGTTGCACTATCATACATAATTACAGAGAATTAATTACAATATATTAACATTGAATTAATATATAATTTCAGAATTAATAAATTGATTCTTGAATTTCTGTTGCATAAAGGTAATAGTGTTGTTGACCAGTGATACAAGTGAACTAAAGGAACCTGAAAAAGTTCGAGCATCTCAGGAAAAGGCTTTACAGGCACTGCAGCAATACACCATAGCAAGGTACCCAGAGATGCCTGCCAAGTTTGGCGAATTATTGTTAAGAATTCCAGATTTACAAAGAACATGCCAGGCAGGAAAAGAATTGTTAACTGCAAAACGCGCAGAAGGAGAGGGCAGCTCGTTTAATTTGTTGATGGAATTATTAAGAGGAGATCACTGAATTATCATCACAATAAACAATGCCGTGAGTTACTTATCATTACGATTAAAAGCAATAAAAACATTTATTGATTTGATATTCTATATAAATATAATAAATTTCAGAGAATAGTTATTACATATTTTCCTTTATTTATTTATTTTCTTTTTTCAGATTCCATGCTTATAGAGTTCATAAGCTTTAGGGAATTGGATATATTAGATAATCAAGGAGCAGAAAAACTAGAAAGAAATCATAAACATTACGGTCCATGATACATTAGTTCAGGGTGAAGGGACTACATTCTTATAGGACTAATTAGAGGTTGACTGCTTGACGCATAAAGCGGACGAAAGAAATTCTATGTTTTTTCTCTCTTTTTTTTGTTCTTTTTTTATTTAAAATGCTTCCATGCGGGTTATTGCATAATGCGAACCCACTTTGAAATACATACAGGAATTTCGAAGCGGCCTATGGTATGCTCGAAATATTCAGCGTGCATATTTTTTATGCAAAACAGACTGAAAGTATAATCGAAGGAGAGATGCAGAGCATTTACTTTTACAATAATATTGATGTACAGAGATAGAAAGATTGAGAGAGAGGGAGAGAAAGAAAGAACGAGTGAGCGAGCGTAAGAGAGAGAGAGAGAGAGAGAGAAAGAGAGAGGGAGTTGGTATCAAATAGCATAAAAATGCTAAATTTTATTAGATAGGTTCAATCTGTTCGAGTAAACCACGAATACAAAGTTTTAAACTTGATGATTATTATAATAATAACACAACCAGTATTTTGTATTGTTCTGCGTTTACTTAAGATTAAGGCACAGAATGATGTCTTATATCCCGGTAATGAAAGTGTACTTAAATCATGAGTCGACCAATTATTTGCTTATAGAGCAGTTAATCGTGTAATAATTATTAGATAATGACGTTTAGCTAACATATTGTCATCAGAGCATTATGGTTTTTATCTATCGTATAAATACATTTTTTTTTTTTTATTCTTCGTATGTTTTAATAACGCGCCAACGACGGATGACCAATTTCGTATGTTCTAAATGGCATACATTTTCTTTTTTTTTATTTCACGAACAACGCTTGAGACAATCTCTCTTTTTGTAAATAAATTTTATTTGAAAACATTTGTTTCTAAATTATGTTCTGTTTGAGGAAATTCTTGTATATTAAATTTTTATCAAGTTGATGTTTGTTTGTTGCAAAATTTTACAATTATTCTGTTTGAAACCGGTTTCATAGTTTCTATGCGTGTGGAGTAAATAACTTTTGTTACATAGCAGTATTTAACTGCGAAACTGATGGTTCGCACACAGAAAAGTCATCCACAAACGCCCAAGTCTGTCAAATATATTAACATCTGTAGAATGTTGAATTACTTGAAAACTATATATGGTGAAAGGTAGACCAAGTAGACACTTCTCACGCATAGTGTCCATTTGATTGTGAAACAAATTTAAATTGATTTACATTCAATTTATTATATTTATGTAAAAGCAAATTGTTTTCTCAGAATAAAATTAAGACATTAAAATGAGTTGAACAAACGAATAATTTATTGTCGATTTAAAATGATTGTTTAAAAAGCACACTGAAAAGATACTATGTGTTAGTTATAAAATTGTGCAATTTGTAAATTTGAATACATATAAATTTTTTGTTTGTAGTAAATCAGTTATAGAACTGAGCCAAAGTCTCGTGCTTAAAAGAAAGAATACTCATCTCTGTCGTTGGTACTATAATGAGACTGTCATATCAACACTTTATTCATTTTATTAAAACAGCAGTTAAGTTTCTTTTGAGTCATCGATAAGAATGTTGCAACATGCGATACTCGATCTGTAATGTAACTTGTAAGAATTGTCTTCCCAACTTTATATCAAATTTCTTTATATAAAAATTGTTCTTTGTTGTGCACAGTGTATTCATTAAATGCGATAAAGAACATAACTTCCATTCGTTACATTAAAAAGTGAAGTTATAAAATTAAAATAGAATTCCAATATAAATGAAGTATTGAGCTCATTGTTTAATGAAATGTTAGGTAAATAATTATTAATCAATCTTCAGTGATTTTTATATAATTTTATAAAGATTATGGTTTTTAACGTAATATTTTATGTTTTCTTTTAATGAGACACTGTGTGAGCATATATATGGTACGTATAGTAGAGCACATTATTTGTAAAAAATTATTCCTATCAAATATCAGATTTTTACTGTATATACTTAAAAAATAGCAATTTAGTAGCCATCGAGTATACAACTTACTTTTCTGATATTTCAATGTTTATATACGCTGGGGAACAATTTTTTAAAATAATAATGCAATTTGAGTTAAATATATTTACAAAGTACAGATAAAAAGTAATTGTATATTGTTACCGTACACAAAAATCTTTTTATTAGATTTTCAAGCTTTTTTAATGCAAGAAAACCTTATAAAACAATTTTCACTGTTTACTTGAAAAATAAAAAAAAATCATTAGGTCAACTTTTCTAATGCCAAATTAGTTAATACATAATAAATTAGCAAACTGAAATTTCAGAATACATTGCTTTGCTACTGCTATCGTAACGATTAAAAAACAAAAAAAATGAAAGAGTATATTACATTGAGAGATATACAAGATTTTAAAGTAAAGAATATGCGAACCATTGAATTTAAAATAAAATTTCTAGCAATGGTTAATGAGAAATTCTTCTGTTGAAAGAAGTATTACTAGACAGTAATTAATGAAGTATTATAAAAACTGAAATATTTGTGCCTTCAATAAAATTTAGTATTTTAATCCTTTTGTAATTTGTGATGCAACATAGAAACAAAAAAAACTAAATACAACAAGCGAATAGAAACAATGTAAATATCTACATATAAAAAATTAATAACTGACAGTCTGATTAAAATTAATAATGAATGTGGAATTTTTGCGAAAAATTTATCGAACCTATATGCATTTAAAATAAACGCAACGTAACATACATTGGCGTAACTAGAATTTTTTCCTAGTGTGGGCCAGGACTGTTAGAAATTTTGGAATTTTGAAATGTTTTAATTCTGGAATTTTGAAAATCTGAAATTTTTGAATCTTAGAATCTTAAAATTTTAGAACTGTGAGAGGGCTGATCCTCACTTTTGAGGAGGCCAGGTCCACTTTGATCCCTGTCTAATTACGCTAATAACATAAGTTCTTTAAAAATACAAGAAAAAAAAGAAAGCAAATTTTTTACTGAAGAACATGAGATTGAATCGACCAATTTTTCCAATTTCTGCGTTTCACTTTTTAATGAACTTCAGCTACCTAATAACAAACAGTATCAAACCGAAAAGTATAATTATGCTATATATTTTAAACACTCTTATATGCGCGTATTATGAATACTTATACAGAATTGTTGGACCGCATGTTTTTGATTACTTATTGAATAATTATACACCGACCGAAACAAAAATGAAGTAATTTTTATAGTTCATAACTGAAAAAGGAATTCAATAAGCAATATTGAATTGCTTTTACTTTTGATTGGTGCTGTTTCATAATTAAACAAGGATTATTATACTTTCTTTTAGTATCATTGATTATAATTTAATTCATAAATCAAATCATAGGAATGTGCGGATATCGGAACTTCGGATCGACTCGGAAAAAATTTGGCGGAATCGGGTGGAATCGGGTGAAATCGGATGAAAACTTTGCTACATACGAATATATGGATTTTACATTGGCGTAACTTGGTAGGGACCAAGGAAGGTCTGACTTTTCACCATTCTAAAATTTTAACATTCCAAACTACCAGATTTCTAAAATTCCTAAATTTCAAAGTGTCAAAATTTCTGAGACCTCGTCCACCCTAAAAAAATTAAGTTATACCGATAAGGATTTATAAAGATTTTGCGAATGTTTACCATGTAAATTGTTCTTTAAAAAAAACTGGATATATTAAGGACTACGCTATAAACATGATACAACCTATCTTAAATACAATTTCAAATAAATCTCGAGTGTCCGAAAAGTTTTGGGATTCCGAGCATTCGTATGTAGAACTTTCGCACTCTCATTCGATTCTGCCCAATTGTTCCACGCATGCTTAGTAAATGATTGCTAAAGGTGATAAACAAACAATAAGTAAAATTTATCTTAAATTAATAATTATACGGTACCAATTGAAATTTAAGAGATGGAAAGTAAATATTGTAAATATAAAGATGCAGAATAATATCTTTTGTAATGAATGTATGAAAGGTGGATGAGAAAGAAAAAAAGATAAGGATCGAATGAACGTGTGATAAAGAAAGAAAGGAAGAAGGAAAAGAAAAGAGAGAAAGGGAAAGTGCGCGCATACGAGAGTGAGGGAGAGAGAGAAAGAGAAAGAATCTATAACTATAGATTATAATATCGACTTAAACGGAAGAGCACAAAATAAGTTTATAAAGATGTTGATATTTAACTTGTTAAAAAAAATAACTAATCTATGTTTGATAAAGAAAAGAAAAAAACATTTACAGGATGTTTATTGTTTGATTGACGACTGCTAAATGGATTTTGTTGCACGTTCATGTAACTACTGCAACCAGTGCCGGATTAAATATTGTTCGGGGCCGGGGGAAGGAGGCCGCAGCCACGGACCTCACTTTACAGGGGGGTTTTCCGTTTACTATGTCATAATATATTGAATGCAATTCTTTTACTATTGCCTTTTCCCTTTACGATTAGATGTTATTTAAATTTAAGATTTTAATCCGGTCCTGATTGTAACGATTTTAGTTCAAACGCTCTTAACGAATTAACGATCGATCGAGGGAAAAAGATTGATCAAAATTTTGTTGCCAATTGTGACAATATTCAGATAAAGCTGTGAATTCGTAATACATATACAGCCTGTCCCATGAAACTGGGCCAAGCTATAGCTTTAAAACGGTGTGTACATTTCTAAATTTCCAAATTACTAAATTTGAAAGTTTTTAAATTTTATATTTTCCACGCCATGCACGCTGGTGCCAGTAAATTCTTCAGCTACCGCTTGACCCACTCGTTACTGTCGCAAGGGGCTTGAAATCTCTAAAAATGTTTCATTCTCACATTACAATACAGGCGCCAATGAAATTTTTAAATTACCGTTCTAAAGTTATAACTTGGCTCTATTTCGTAGGACACCCTGTATATTCATCAGGGAGCTTAAATATAGTAGATTGTAACAATAATTATTACATACACACACACGCCTATTGCAATTAAAGAGATCGTATTCTAGAAATAATATAAATGCCCGCGTATAATATATGTAGTCTTGATTCAATATGAAACACAACTGAAAATTTGATAAAGAAACATGTAAAAATATGAATAATTTTTTATTGCTTACGATGAACTGACTTGCATTAATTATTTTTACAAAATATTAATTTATATATTGTTGATGGTAAGTTTTTGTTGAAATCATGTTTAAACTTGCATTTTAGCACAGATACATTGCTAGATTATTATAAAAAGTGTTTGATTATCAAGTCAATTAATCGAGAAGGAAAACCAAATTACGAAAGTGTAATGACAAGAATATTTCATGTTCCCCACATAGAAAGATGGCTATTCAAACTACATAATTAGAAGGTAGTTTTATACATATAACATGATCATTAAAAAATAAAGAAATTTTTATAAAACAATGTTTTAATTAACACCACTAAAATAATGTCTTGCTTTTAATAATATAAAGGGAAAGTATTGACTATTCTTCTTATTCAACCGTGAGGACATTTTGAAAACTGGTAACAGGAACCGAGAAGAAACTGAGCTCCCGAATTCATGATATAATAGTAAACAAAATTATTATTATTGTAAAGTAATTGCATCTAAGGTAATAAATATGAGTTAAAAATAAAAAGCAAAAATTATGAAAAAAGTCGAAAACTTTACCGACAGTCCCTAGAGAAATCCCTAGACGCGAGTTTTCAAATTACGTCCTCATTTCTAAACAGAATGTAAAAACATTTGTGGGACGTGTTCAGGAGGTTCTAAAGAATATTTGTCTGGTCCTTATATTATCCAAATCGTCAAAAACTTATAAAATATTGAAATTGCTGTCTGTCAACGGTCAAGAAAATGGCGGAACGGACTCACCTGCATTGATTTATTCGTAATATAAACATTTCTGTAAATCGTATGTCCAAATAGGGACCAGACTGATATTCTTTGGGTCGGATAGAATAAAACGAGCACCCAAGGGATGATGTACAAGTCTCCAGGTAGAAGTAATTTGAAAACTACGATTTCGTTGATTGTTCACTCGCGAAAGACGTCAACAAGGTAAAACAGACCAGAAATTCAGTTTCTCGTTCATTCTGTAGGGCGCAGTTCGTTCGTTTGATTAATAAACAATTGTAAAATTAGAAATAATAATTAAATAATTTTTAATAGAATAATTAAACAGAATTTTGCAATATACCCACGCGGAAATGTAAAGAAATAAACAATTTAAATAGATATAACAATAATTTGATTAATAAACAATTGTAAAATATAAAATAATAATTAAACAAATATTAACAAATATCAGATAGAAATAGTTAAATCTGCGGAACCGGTGAAGCGGAACGTCATGCTTGATTGCGCGCGCCGCGCGCCGGTACACGCGCGACCTGTAGAGAGGTCAAATCTAATCAGTCTTATCGCGACCGCCGAAGGGTATGGGTCGAGCTGTCAAACTTATACCGGTACGGATTGACACTATGGATATTCGTGCATGGATTTATCAGTGTGTTACCACAAGTGTTACTGTGTGTGCCTATGGCGTTTCCTATAGTGTTTCCCATGTTTTGGAATATTTATACGGATATATTAGTGCGACTTATGGTGTGGTCTCCCATGTGTTCTGACATTTTTATACAAGTGCATTAGTGTGCTGTGTGGTGTGGTACCCCATGTACCTGCATGTGGTTTATTGTGTTTTATGGTGTGGTTTCCTTTGTGCTTTGGCATATATTTACGGATATATTAGTGGGTTTTATGGAGTGGTACCCTATGTGTTTTGGCATATTTATACGGATTTATTAGTGGGTTTTATGGAGTAGTACCCTTTGTGTTTTGGCATATTTATACGGATTTATTAGTAGGTTTTATGGATTGGTACCCTATGTGTTTTACTATAATTTTGCAAATATTTTATAGTGTTCTATGGTTTTCATCTTCGAGTGTTTTGGGATGTATTTGCATGTGTTTTACCGTGTTTTATGGTGTAGTTATTCCCATATAGTTTTGCATGCATATTTTTGAATTATCCTATGTATTAGCATATTAATTACAACAAATTGAGAGAAAACATATATCGTTCAAGAATCGTGATTTTTATGCTTTCAGATGAGTGCTTTAGCCATTGGGGATACCGTTTCTTTGACGAGCCAACAGACGAGCTATGGGTCAATCTAACAATAAGATGCGTGGCGTGTGCAGTGGTGCAAGTCAACGATCGGTGAGTCGCATGCTTTAAAGTTCCTCCGGTTCCCATCATGTCGTAGGACGAATGGTCCGTAGCGACACGGGAATTGGTTGTAATTTTTATTTTTTGAGCGAGCATAGTGACCCACGAATATCACTGTACCATTTTATACAATGATAATCGTGCAAATTGCTTTTTTGTGTATTTTATGCCTTAGCTCAGGATAGGGTTTTTGTTGTACATATTTACATATATAGATTTCAAGTTAAAAAGTGTAGAGAAGTCGGATGACCCTCCGATTTCAGAATACACCTTCTTTTTTATATGTACAAGAATTTATTTCGCGATGAGCAGATTTCAATATCAAAGTAATAAGCATGAATACTTTTAATTATTCCAACTACTTACTTTGATAACGAAATCGCTCTTGAAATTGAAACGTTATTCCGATTTTACTCGTGAAATTGGCATCAGTTTAGTATATGGGCTGGCCTCCAGGGGGGTCGGTATTTGCTCTTCAAGCATTGTATAAAGTTCCCCTTTCGTACTTGAAATTCATTCTGTCACGTTCACGGTTCTCGACCTTAAACACTCATCATTCGCACTTCAGCCTCACGAACTCTATCTCATAATCATTTATCCATCTGCATACCCTTGTGTAGTGAAATAATACCCCGTTAGGATTTTCAAGTTATAGTAGTGTTGCGAAAAATTTTCAACGCGAGAATAAATATTACCCCGTTAGGATTTTCAAGTTAAAGTAGTGTTGCGAAAAATTTTCAAAGCGAAAGTAAATATTACCCCGTTAGAATTTTCAAGTTTAAGTAGTGTTGCGAAAAATTTTCAACGCGGGGGTAAATATTACCCTGTTAGAATTTTCAAGTTTAAGTAGTGTTGCGAAAAATTTCCGGCGCGAGAGTAAATATGACTATACACTGACTAGTATTCGGTGGGAATCCTTTTGGTTTTTATTTGATAAAATTAGTTACAAGGATTTCGCGGCATAAGACCGTGAAACACCATCTCATGGGAGATAAACCCATGCATTACTAGGCCTTTGCAGGCGCAGCTTTAGAATACGGAACATATGAAAATATGTTACCATATTCTAAACTGTAGTCCTTTTGTCTATACTATGGGCGTCCGTCAATCTGACACCGTTGGATGCAACGTGTTGGACGGGCGGGTAGCGCTCTTAGCGAAGGGGTGCATCCTGTCCTGGCGTTACGACGTCCAGGCGGGGTGGGTGGTATGTAGCGTCGGGCGCAAGTCCAGGGGGCCTAAGAACCTCCGTTGCCAACTGATATTAGTAGTGCACCATGTTTTATGTCATAGTTGCTCAATTTTGCTTTTCTGTATTTGCTCTTCAAGCTTTATATTTGCAAAGTCGAGTCACTTTTATTAAAAATAAAACCCCCTGGTGGGGCTAGCCCATATACTAAATCGGAGCCATGAAATTTCGCCGATATTCTTACTTTTAATAAAGTGAGAATATCATCTTTAGTTTTTGCTAATCATACGTTTTAGCTTAGGCATTTCAGCACACATGAAGAAAACTGGTAGGTGAAAATACCTTTGGCCTTGTTCATTTTTATGCCCAAAGCTCATTCGGGTACTTAGATGTACTCGCGTGGGTGGAGGGCGGTGGACAAGGTTTAGTTTTAAGTGTAATACATTTTGGCGACTGACAAAAGTAGTGAACCAATAGTGAACCACGATAGAAGTTCCACATGTGTGTGTGTGGTTAGGATGTGGGATTTTTATCAATCTTAACTTACTATAACATTACAAAATACTTATCAAGAATAAATTGAAAAATTTTTACATTAGATAATTCAAAGAATACGAAAATGAAATGTATTACTTTAGCATAATGTTCACTATTATTTGTCAGTCGATTTCAGCAAAAAGGTATGATTTTATTAGAGTGTGAAAGTGGAATTGAACTCGGGTGTCGGAGGCGTCCCGGGACGTTCTCTCTAGGTGTAGGCATTTTTGCACCCGGGTGGTTGTATGAGAACCGTGGAGTGAATTTTTGTGAGAATGATTTTTGCCCTTTTTTAAATATAGCGATAGGCAGGCAGGTAGTTTACTTCTGGTGTGATTGAGTTTAGTTTATAAGTAGGCAGGGCCAGAGCAAGCTTTCATGTTTCTCTTCGTATTCTCCTCTAATACGTGAGAAGCTTGTATCTGGGGTTGGGAAACCAAAAATCAAGAAAAAAGATGAAAATGCAATTTAATTAATTTATCAATTAATTAATTTAGCATTCTCTCTTGATTTTTTCAAGGCCAAGCCTTATTAGTTTGTAAGTCGTAGTCGTGGTACTAGACCCGATTACAAAAATGAAGTATTAAAGTGAAAGTGCAGTGAAGTGAAGTGAAGTGAAGTGAAATTAAAAAGTGTTTTGTGCTTGGACATTTGCAAAAATTGTGCAGGTATGCGAGTAGCAATTCAAGGGATCGTTGCTCGTTTACGTGTTACGTTTTTACAAATGTCTGAGCAAACGTAAAATTTTCGCGAGTGATTTTTGTGAGGCTATTGCCGAAGAAAGAAGAGGCTATATGCTGAAGAGCCCCGGCAAAATTTGCCCAGAAGAGGGGAACTACTAATGGCTCTCCATCTTCGGATGGACAGTCATTCTGTCACTATGCTCGCTAATTTGTTTTTTCATTTTTTGTGTTTTTCCTTGAACGGTATGAATAATACCGTCCAGGACATATTGAACTCAACATTTTACGAGTTCAATACCCAGCTCGTTGAATGGTCAACTCGCGATTTTATTTCCCCTATTTCGTTTTTGTTTATTGCTTTATTGAAATAAATTATTCTTTTCTTATTGATTTGCACATCAATTATATTTCATGTTCTTATTTTAATTATGTTCTATTTATTTAAAACATAATTACCATTACAATCTCAGAGTATATTTTCTGTTGTCGGCATTTTTCATTTCAATTGTAATCGAAATTATGATGTTAATTATATTTTCTATTTCAGGATTGTATTGTTTAAATTTTTATTTTATGTTGTCTGTTTTGAATGGTTTCACGTTATTGTATATCTAATCCTAATAATTATGTTTTCCGTTACAGCATTTTATTGTTAAATTATTATTATTTTCTCAATTGTTTCTGATATTAGAATGTTAATTTTATTTTCTATTTCAAGATTGTATTGCTTAAATTTTTATTTTATGTTGTCTGTTTTGAATGGTTTCACGTTCTTATGATTTTAGGGTGGGTCACTAACGTAGCCACCTCCACGTGGTGTGATCTGGTAATTGATATCGTTTTCTAAAGATAACTTTTAGAAAGCGATATCAAGCTAAGAGCTACTATAAAAAGCTTTATATATTTTTTAATTGGGAAACAATAGTTTAAATTCAGAAAAGTATTTTCGGAATTGCAATATTACCATATAGAACGTATAACTATAGTAATTTTATAGTTCCTGAAAAAGGAACTTGTATGATTTTTGACTAACTACAAATGACTAATTACCTCCTTCTTTTTGAAGTCGGTTAAAAATAAAATAAAAAGAAAATCACAATATATGGAATTTAGAAAGAACGAAGTTATTTGATACGCAATGGTAGAAAGAAATCAACCCTGGCGAAGATATTTCAAGCAGAGACGTTGTACATTGGAAAGGCCAGATCTCGCTCTTGTCTACAGAACACATAATTTCTGCTTTTCATTTGATAGAAATTCGCTACGTTGACTAACAAATATTTTTCTTATAACAATTTTCGAGAGGAATCCATTATTGAATGAAAGTAAAAATTTGCATAAATGGAGGGTGGATGGGATGAGGCAGGACGGATCTTCAAACCGCAGCAACCTCCTCGTGGTGAGACCTGGGCAATCGTTATTATTCGATGACTAATTAATAACTGTATCATTATTTCTATGGTACATTTAATAATTATGCAGTAAATAATATAAGCGAAATGGCTGCGAAATTTATGCTTTTTTTTCTATTTAATCTCTGTTATATGTATATTTTTCAGGAACTATACCTTTCAGATTTTAAAGTTTATCACATTGCAACTACAATTTTACGGAAAGAAAATTAACAATAATGATTGCATGGTCAGTATTGTTTAATTATGTACTTATACATATAGCTATCGTAGCATACACGTGTCATTTAGATGTATGCGAAAGGTGACGTAGCATAGCAAGCGCGCGGTCGAGCACAGAAAACGAACAAACTGCGCCCTACAGAAAAAACGAGGAACTAAATTTGTGGTCTGTTTTACCTTTTTAACGTCTTTCGCAAGTGAAAAATCAACGAAATCGTAGTTTTCGGTTTTTGTCTAAACGAGAGCTTGTACACCATTCCCTGGGTGCTCGTTTTGCTCTATCCGATCCAAAGAATGGCGCTCTGGTCTCTATTTGGACATTCGTTTCGCAAAAATGTTTATATTACAAATAAATTAATGCAGGTGAGTCCGATCCGCCATTTTCTTGACTGTGGACAGACACAAATTTCAATATTTTATAATTTTTTGACGATTTGGGTAAAATAAGGACCAGAGCGCCATTCTTTAGGGCCTTCTGGACACGTCCCTCAAATTTTTTTGCATTCTGTTTAGAAATGACGACGAAAATCGAAAACTCGCGTCTAGGGATTTTTCTAGGGACTGTCGGTAAAGTTTTCGACGCTCGCATCACCTTATGTAAACACCAGAATTATAAGAATTACTAGGGAACTTTTATATAGACTTATAAGAAAGGTTGGTCAGACATTAGTCTTGTGATCCAACAGCTGAGAGAGGTGCGAATGTGCGACAAGTAGAATTTTAATTTTATGTAACTGCAATATTAATTGAAATATACGATTTTTAAGGGACGACAGCAAAAATGGTGGACCGTGCGCATATTAAAGAAATAATACCGGCTCTGCCCGATGAAAAAATCGGTAAGGATTTTAAGATTATCATTTAGATTTGATAATTTGACATTGCCCCTCCCAATAATGTTTATGTGATTTACAAAAACAATATAAGCTTTGTAATATTATATATATTATATAGTAATTTAATATATTATTAAATAAATATATTTTTCCTATTTTTCTCTGTATCATTGATAAAAATAATAGATTTTATATTCTGTATATCAATCTTTGCATATTGTAATACAGAATACTTTTGATATCTTGATGTATATATATTTAATATTCATTTCTGAATATATTTAATATTAGTAGAAGCACCTGGTGTTGACTGAGCATCTCATTTTTATATCTTTAAACTCTTGCTTCCTATAAATATTGATAATAAATAATTCTTTTATTTATCATATTTTTATTATCTTGTCAACTATTTTGATTTAAGATATTATAAAAAAACGTCCGAAAATGTTTCAAAAAAATTTCTATGAAGACATTTTTTGCAGAGAATTTACATTATAATGTCAATGCAAAGATTTTACCCAATGATCTTTTTTCTTTTTAATGATAATAAGATATTTAAATGTTACATAGACAATCATCATCGAAAAACAAATAATGAAAATTTTATAAAAATCAAACTAGTGATTTATGAGATCATTAGATGACACAGTACACATTGGCGTGATTAGAATTTTTGTCTGGGATAGTTCTAGTTACGCCAATTATAGTTCCTTTTTTCCTGTTATATTACTGTTATATTCTGTTAAGTATTGTTGCTTACAATAAATTGTTTCATGTTTTAGATATGCTGGCAGCTACAAGCATTCTTCAACAACAAGCTGCTGATATTAGAAATCAAAGAATCAATTGGCAATCATATTTACAGTAAGGATTTTATAAATAATTATTTATATAGATAAAAAGTAAATATTATGTTATATTATTTCATTTTTTTTATAGGTCTCAAATGATATCAAAGGAAGATTATGATTTCATAGTTTCTTTTGATACAAGCGATGGTAATGCTCGAGAAGCGAAGCTCAAAGAAAATGCACATCAGGCGGCTAAAACTTTCCTTAATTTACTTGGTCACGTTTCAAAAGATCAAACTATACAATACATTCTTACAATGATCGATGATATGCTTCAGGTATATAAAATAGAGTAATTTATACTTTATTGTTATGGAATGATTCTAAATATTAATATGTTAAATATCAGGAAGACCGTAGCCGCGTAGAGATCTTCAGGGAACATTCAAGTCGCAAACGCGAATCAGTATGGGGTCCTTTTTTAAATCTGTTGAACAGACAAGATGGATTCATAATGAATATGACTTCTCGAATCATTGCCAAACTTGCTTGTTGGAGTCATGATTTAATGGAAAAAACTGATCTTCAATTCTACTTAACATGGCTTAAAGATCAGTTGAAGCTCAGTGTAAGTGTTTTAAACATATATTTACGTATTAATATAATTTAAAAATTAGGAAAAATTTTATCACTGCTACATTCTTCATCATGTTATTAACAAGGAACTATGTGCTTTTTATTTGTTGCTTAGCTTTACATAGTATAGTTATGTGTGTGCACAATATGGGTGATGGTTCTCATTATTGTGTATAAGGTGTATTAGACATGTTATATAACATTCAACATATTCCATTAAATAATATCGAACGTGAACTTGTAAAAGCATATAAATAACCAAGTACAAAATAAAAATATAGGCATACCGTAACACACGCAATACTAAATACTACAGATAATGCTTTCTGTAAGATAAAGGGTAGTTAACAAAACGTTAAATCCTAATAATTTAAATGTATAAACAAATTGACACGGGATTCTAGTTTGAGGCCCTTCAGGATACAAACTTGCATGCAGGGATAGAACAAAACATCATTACGGACAAGGAGGCGAATGAACTACGTGAACTACAAAATCCGGTTGGTTCTATAATAGCTAATTATTAACATAGAGAAACAACATAAAACTACAATTTTCAGTCTATCTTTATGTGTAAAATTTAAATGTGTAATACTTAATCACAATAATGTTAAGTACAAATGCAAATGAAAATAATGAATCTGTAATATGTAAGTAATCATTCTTTATTGCACTTTTCAGTATTAATTGGAAATGAAATATGTGCACACACATAATTTTGAATATTTTATTCCACTATTTGGTTATTATTCTAGTTTCAAAGCATTATATATATTTTTTCCTGTTTATTCAGAACAACGACTACATTCAGTCCGTCGCGCGTTGTTTACAAATGATGCTTCGCATAGACGAATACCGTTTTGCATTTGTATCAGTCGATGGAATTTCCACTTTGCTGGCTGTTTTGACAGGCAGGGTAAACTTTCAAGTGCAATACCAACTAATATTTTGTATATGGGTACTTACATTCAATCCATTACTTGCAGAGAAAATGAACAAGTTTGTATTGTGTATATTATAGAATTGTAAAATGTAACAAAACGTTGCTGTAATATTAATTTTTAATTTTAGATTTAACGTTATACCCATCTTAGCAGATATACTAAGCGATTCTGTTAAGGAAAAAGTAACACGTATTATTTTAGCAGTATTTAGGGTAAGTTGCACAGTTTATTGTATTTTTATTACGTGTACTGATTTTGAATACTTTTTTAGAATCTTATTGAAAAAGTGGAGGATGGACAAGTTGCAAAAGAGCACTGCATTGCTATGGTACAATGTAAAGTATTGAAGCAACTTTCTATCCTTGGACAGCGTAAATTCGACGACGAAGATATCACTGACGATATTGAATTTCTGAACGACAAATTGCAAGCGTCCGTTCAAGATTTAAGTTCCTTTGACGAGTATTCGACCGAGGTAAAATCGGGACGCCTCGAATGGTCTCCTGTTCACAAATCCGGTAAATTTTGGCGAGAGAATGCTAATCGACTCAACGAGAAGAATTACGAACTGCTGCGTATTTTGGTACATTTGTTGGAAACCAGTAAGGATCCTCTGGTTCTCAGCGTAGCCAGTTTTGATATTGGAGAATACGTAAGACATTATCCACGTGGTAAACAGTACGTTTAACAAAATATTTCTGTTTTGCATTTGCAAAAGTCACTGTTCGTTAAATTTACTTTTAAACATATTATTTATTATAGTATAATTGAACAACTTGGTGGTAAACAACGGGTAATGCAACTTTTGGGACACGAAGATCCTAATGTGAGATATGAAGCACTTCTTGCAGTTCAGAAACTGATGGTGCATAATTGGTACGTAAATTAACATTATTTATTTACATTGGAGTAATTAAGATTTTTTTCTGAGATGATATATAACGATACGAGGTGCTTGATATTAAATTTCCAGGGAATACTTAGGAAAACAATTGGAAAAAGAACAAACTGGAACGTCAGGTTCTTCAGGAAACAAACCTGGCACGCAAGTTCCAGCAAAAGCTTAAACGAACGCGTAAGTTTTTTAATCGTAAATTTTGCTTGAAACATGTACATTTTGTCTTCTTCTCATATTTCCTTCAGATAGCTTATTTTCATTGTATTAAAAATCGATATAAAAACATGTTTTTGGCATTAAAATTACATTCCTTCGAATTCCAATATAGTTATATGTGAATATATAAATAATTCATTGAGTTTGGAATTCCGTGAAATTATAACAAAATGTATATAACTGATGTTAGTGTTGTACTAACTGTTGTATAGTAACAGTTAGTTAAATAAACAGTGTATTTGTAGAATAATGTTGTTGGGTTTGTAAGTAAAAAGTTTAATGGAATGTTGGAAAGAAAAAATAAAGTATTATTATTATTATACAATAGTTAGAAGAAAGTACAAAGCTATGTACACTCCAATAATCTTCATTTCTCTACGAATGACAGTTTCACGTTAATATTACAAGATGTTAATTGCGTTACGAGATACCGAAAGATATATGGTATTTCAACATCTCTCACGGACTCGTCGTCACCGCAGAGACGACATCTCGTTTTGTCGTTTAATCCTGGCGTAGTTACAGACATTTCCGTTATAGGACCCAATAGCGTCCCACATTTTTGACATACCAATGTCTGAAATATTATTATTAATTATTTACCAATGAAAAAACCAAAATTTTCCGCTTTAAGCTTACCGTAGTTTTATCTGAACAGTGGAAGAGACGATCTTGAAGCAAAAATGCACAACCATGAGATATTAACGAATCACGTTCCATCTCTCCGAATCGAACACCGCCACCTCTTCGTCTACCCTTTATCGGTTGTCTCGTTAAAACATCGACGGGACCCGTACTTCTAACCTGCCATTTATCTGAAACCATGTGTCTCAATCGCTGATAATGTACTACTCCAAAGAAAATATCGGCAGTCAATTCTCTTCCATCTATCCCCGAGTACAATCTTTCCGTTCCATAATAATTATAACCGCCGCGTTCCAATAATTTTCCAAAGTACTCTACTGCTGTTTCATCCTCGTTAAATCTAAAGGATGTTGCATCGTGTACTAATCCATGTATAGCTGCTGATTTTCCAGCCATTATTTCGATCATCATGGCTATTAATTTAAATACAAGATTATTATAATTTCACTGTCTTTGAATGAGAACGAATCTTCCGAATGAATTTTAATTTTACCTATTGTCATACGACTTGGGAAACCGTGAGGATTAAATATGATATCGGGGATCAGACCAGTTTCAGTGAATGGTAAATCCTCCGCTGGCCACTTTTGCGAACAGATACCTTTTTGCCCTGCTCTTGAAGCAAATTTGTCTCCAACGCTTGGATTTCGCTAAAAAATAGGATATTTTTTAAAGAACTGTTCTTCTATATGTTGATTTACAAAATATTAGGTGTAAAAATTAAAGTGTATAATCTTTTTTTTTTAATTGAAGATTTGTTCTCGTTTTACTTTTCAAATCCACAAAATATTCAATTTTGGGAATATTATTTAAGGGATACTACAGACATTGAATTAATTGATACACCTAATAAAAATTACTATTTTACTAACTGGAATACGAAAAGTGATACAAGCTCTACGTGGAATGTGACTATGCAATGTTCCACAGAGTTTTACATTATCGACGTAAGCATCTTCTTTCCCATGATATTTACCAGTGACGTATGTCGATTTATCTGCATCGTAATAACTATGTACAGAATAGATTTAATATAGATTAAAATCAACTAAATTAGGGTCGTTCATCTAATTTATAAACAGTTTACCAATAATAAACATCGTTTTCCTTGATAATTGTACCCGGTACAGGAAGACCATCGGTATCTAATTTTTCTGCGAGTTCGGGTTTATCAGGATTTCGTGCAAAATAACTTCTTTGATCTTTCAAATCTACGAATTCCGATTTATAAATCATTCCGTGTGCAAAACCCCTGTCATATGCTGCTTTATTTATAATCATTGCGTCTTCCATATCATAGCCCTTTAAACATAAATAATATATTGAAATTATTAGTATTATACAATGTATATTAACCTGGCACTTGCAGCATTACGCTTGCTTAATTATTATTTTAAATTTGAATATTTTCCCGCGCTTCCAGTAAGTAGTCCTACAACAGAGGTGATTATCTGAAGAATTGAAATTACCATTTTATTGATGATCTGCTGGTAGTATTTGAAATTCATAGAAGCACGGAAAAATATTCAAATTTAAAATAGTTGTACTATAACACCTAATATATTACTTACCGTGTACGAAATAACAGCAACTATTGCATTAGTACCCATAGCAAAATCGTCGAGATCAATTTTATCGTAATGTACAGGTCGAAAGAATGGTGTTGCAGGTGTTTGAAGTCTGTATAATTTAGTTTCGGATTGCAATTGCCACGTATGACACGGAGTACCCATTGTTTGTTTACCCATCTACAAACCCAATAAAATTGCATAGCGGAAAAATTCGTAATCAACAAAAAGTAGAACAAAATCTTACCTGACACTGATACATATTTCGCGGACTTTGATTGTAATCTGGCATTGGAATTAGACTTGCTAAATTACTTAAGAACGCTGTTTTTGATAATTCTTGATGCGTCGTTAGCTATAACAAATGAAGCTATAATAACATGAAACAATTCAAAAGAAAAAAAAATGTAAATAATAAAATAGTTTATTACTCCTTTATAAGCTTCCTCGGGCGTGACACAAATTTCTAAATAAATTTGCTCAAACGTTCCTATATATTCAATTTTTTTACAAGCTAAATTCATTACTGGCCTCATCATGCGAGCTGCATTCGTGAACAAATATAATCCTGGATACTGAGCCGGTACATTTTTCTTTGGCACGAGTGCTATTTCCATCGTGTGCGGAACCTATGTACAAATTAAAAAAATAGTGAAAATATAAATTATACTTCCTCAAAAAAAAATTACCTCCTCTCCTTTTATTTTAAGTAATCGTAATTTATCAGTCACTCTGCTAATTATACTGTCATCTATTAATCCAATCAATTTCCCGTCTAACATCACGACGTATGAATTTTGCCAATTGTCTACAATGGATAATGGAATCATTCCAAGGTCCATTAGTATGATAGGTACATTGGCTTTTAGTTTTGGATCTGGATGTTTTGTAATAATGCAGTTCATTGTTAAATGATTCAAAAGACCACACGGAGCACCGTCAGGTGTGTGCACAGGACAAATGAAACCTATAATAGTAATTAATAATTGTATCCTCTTGAATGCTATTTAATAAAAATTAAGAATTTTTCTATAATAAAATAATTACCCCATGCGTCAGGCAATAGTTGTCTAGCTTCCGTAGTTCTCATTTCTTGAAAGAAGGAACCCCTGTGTATAGCACGAAAGTGACTCATGTAACGCATCCTATTAATATTTTCAGCAACAATTGTAAGACCCGTATTTTGCATCAGCCCTAAACCTGTCGACGATCTTAAATTTCCAGTGGATAAAAAGTTTTCCATTTGCGAATCAAGGAAATTTCCATGTTTCATCACATTCAACATTTCCTCTACATCAACAAATAAGTTGTATTTAAAACTCTGTTAATTTATGGCTATGCATTAGCTTCTAAAATACTTACGCACGTTTAAAGCGTATCTGTTACCAGCGCTCCTTGCACGTTTTAAAATATTTGTTTTTAAAATATTCAACCAGTTGTACAATTTCTCTTTCAATACTTGCAAATATAAATGACCGCCAAGTAAACATTCCTGCATCATCACAGCATCAGCTCCTTCAACGGCACACTTATTATTTGCAAGAACGAACAACTTTTTTGTCATAAATACGAGTAAGTAAAATTTATCTAACGGATCGTTCAGATGAATTGCTATACAATGCCTACAAATATTATCTGTTAATAACACAAATTAATGGGTGTTAATCAACTTATTTAGTGAACTTACTTAATAATAAAGTCACAAACATCTACATCGGTGGCATCTTGAGGAAGTTCGAAAAATTTTATTCTAAACATTCTTCCTATGTAAGCTTTGCAGTCTTCGTGACTGTGTAAATCTTGTTCGTGTATGGCACGTAACATATTTGAGATACAACTTTTGTACCAAATATCATCTTCACGTCCAGCTACCAATGCGTTATAAATAAAGATATCCGAAGCATCGATTAAACACTTTAACATTAAAATGAGCGGAACGTAATATAAAATTTTCCTATGCGTAAACATTAATTTTGCCGAACCATCAGTTACATAGTGCAAAGTATTGTTCTGTAACATATATAGTTAATTAATCATAATGAATTGATCACAACTACAACTTATTTTATTATACGTACAACTGCAGTATTATCATCACGCACACATCTTAAAAGTAAGCCAAGATCGCTAAATTGTACGCCACGAGCTTTCCAACCTGATCTCTTAATAGCTATAGGATAATTCCTCCTTGTCATTAATAACATTCTTATAAGTCTCTCCAGTCCTTTGATTATAAAATATCCACCCCATTCTTGTTCGTGTTCTCCATGTGCAACAAGTTCTTTTGGACTCATTTTATGCAAGTGACATCTATTGGACTATAATCAAATGTAAATTAAATACATATAAATCATCAAATTTATATAATAATATTGTATACCTTAACCATAATTGGAACCTCTCCTAAATCTCTTTCAAGAGTCTCTTGCACTTTACCATTGATGCTCCAACCCACTTTAACTGTGATCTTCCCTTTGTAAGTACATCGCCTCTGACGACATTCTGTAGGGTAAATTTTATGATTCTTTACCCCAATTGTACCAGAAGGAACAACAGGCTGATGGATGGATACGTCATCAAGCCATAAAGCTACTTTATCTTCATTTGGAAGATGAATATAAACAAGTGGATTATCTTGGACAGCCTCGGAAAGACCATCTTCTAGCATATAGTTAAAGGAATCTATATGCGGAACACCTAAGCTTTGTAATAACTAAAATATAAAAAACTTTAATGTTTTTGAGAGTAAATGACAATTAGTTTTTAAGAAACTTTTACTTACAGGATTTTGTTTATTGGGTGGTTTACCGAAATGTTTCGATGTATTTGTTAATTTCGGCTCGATTAACATTTTTATATTTTCACAATAAATGAAAGGAAATATTTTAAATATAATTTAAATACCATGAGACGTTAACGTATTTGCGCTAACCCATGCACCGGACACCACCGCACACGTGGTTACTACTGTCTACCAATCACAAGAAGTCCCATGAGAATAACGCAATCTGATTGGTTGCGCCCCACCTCAGCTCACACATGCTTTCGGTCGTGACGTATGATTGATCGAAGCGATCAGTCTACTTGAGCTTGAGCCTACTAATTGGGCTCGTGTAGAACAGTGCAAACCGAACTGCGCAAGTGTAAACAACTTTCAAACTTTATTCAACGACAATTACAAGGTGTATTTGTTAACATTTCATTAAACTTTTGCCAAAACATGAGCATATCTGGCAAAATTCTTTACGACAAGGTCCGAAATTTACATTCGGATCTTTCAAGTGTTATAACACCAGAAATATTAGAAAAAACTTGCAATGAACCTGTGGTTCAACCGTTTTTGAAATGGTTCTGTGGAAATGTGAATTCCTTCAATATTATTTCAAACGAGGATATTCAAATGTAAGATATTTTTAATATTAGGATTAATTCGATATGTTTTAAATTTGAAATTAAGTTTTATTTTGTTGATTTAAGAGAAATAAAATTTGTATAATTTACATTTTAGAAAAAACAAGCTACAAGGGACAAATGAATGGTTGGAAGGTACCGAATTAGATAATGCATTGGAAGAAGCTACTAGAAGCTGTCCTGATTTATTAAAAATTATTTCATTTGATAATCTGGATATAGATGGCCTATTTTCAGAACTTGAAATAGCCAAAAATGCATATGTGGAGGATGAAAATTATATTAACACCTTGCAAAATGGAATTGAAAATTTAAAGTAATTTCATTCTTACACTGTTTTGATTAAAATTTGACTTATACACTTTTGCTCGTGCACCAAAGATATATGAATAAAATATCATTGCAGAAAGTTAGAGAGTAAATTAGATGAAGATTTGGAAAAGGAAGAAGCAATTTTGAGCAGAGAATACATTAAAGCAGACAAAGCGTATATGGAATGTTCTGCAATTGTGAAGGAATTTGATGAAAGCAATCATAAATTTTCTAAAGAAATTAAATGTTTGTTAAACGTATATGCAGATGCTGCTGAAAATGTAACTTTCATTGATCTTTTAAAATTTATTCTAATATTACTGGTAGTCTATTAATAAGTGTTTTGGTATTATCATTGACCAACAACCAGTTAGTAAATCTTTTGTGATTATTAACTCAGGTGTGCTATAATTAAGAAAAAACTGAAAGTAGGGTTTACTCCTCATAATCTTTAGTTACAATTAAGTTATAAATTGATGAAGCTTATCTATTTCATTTTTGACTTGCAAGTAATGTGTTAATGTTATATTTGCAGAAAGGTGCACCATTACTGTGGACCCAAATGCCATTGGAACTTTTTATTAGTAAAATAGAATTATATAATCATTATTTAGATGTTTACATAGAACAGCAGTTTAAAAATATACACAAAGAAGAACTGAAGACTGACTCCAATTATGTTTCTCTAATGTATAATAGCAAAGAAAAATATATAGATAACGAAAAGCTGCAAGAACTGTCGCTATGCAACAAAACGTAATTTAATTCTCTACAGTCGTTATTATTATATTTATTAATTTAATAGAATAATTTATACTTTATTTTATAGTTTAACCAACGCAAAAATAAAATTAATTCTAGCTAAAGTACAGGAAGACTCCTATATAGCAATGTTAAACCATGTACAAAATATTTACAATTCAGGGAACTTGAAAATACCAAGACAATCTGAATTGAGGTATGTAATAACTGTTTAAATGTAAATTATTTCTGTAAATATGTTACATAAACATTAAATTTTATAATTAGAACAGAAATTTCAAAGTTAACTAGAAAAAGAGATCTCTTAGAAGAAAATGTCTCTCTGTTGCAAGAACATCAATTGACAGAAATTGTCCAACAATTTACAGAGCTAGAAATAACTAAAATATTGAAAGAAAATGCTGATACAAAGCTCGAAGAAACGAAACTTTCTTTAGAAAGACTTAAAAACTTGCGATATCTTGCAAGGGAACATGGTCATGCCTACACAGATTTATTATGCATCTTGATGGAAATGCAGTTTCATCGTCTGAAAAATGTTTCTGAATTCGTAGCCGATGTCTACCATTATTTGAAAATGGAATACTTACTGTCTTCTGCAAGATGTGTTAGTATTATAAATAAACTTCACAAATTATATTTCATAATTAACATTTATTTTTCTATACATAGGAAAGTATGCAACAGGAACAAACCAAGTATTTTTATCTTGTGAATTCTTCTTCAAAAGAACATAATTCTTTCAATCAGTTCTTCATTTCTATGATATTTAATGGTGATAATACGTGTTCATTAAATTCTGCATTAGATAGATACAACGAAATCATGGATGAAAATAAAAACAAGAAACAATTAATACTAAAAGCACATTTCAATTCTAAAATTCATAAATTGGAAGTATGGTAAGTGTTACCTTATTTAGCAGTAAAATTATATTGTAATGGGTATTATATTAAATCATTATAATTTAGGGAAAATGAAGTACTTTTACAGTACATGGATGAAATTCATAAAGGATGTACATTCTCATTTGAACCAATTTCTTATGAATTAGAAACTTGTTATGGTGAAACATCTAATAATTTACAAAAGATACAAGCTGATGTAAGAAAAATAAGAAATCAAATGAAGGAACGAGTGGTAAAGTGACAGATCCATTTAACATATATATATTTATAAAGTAGCTTTTTATGTAATTGAAATTTTCTGTTACAGAAAGCTGATGTAAGCTTTGAACGAGAAAAGAATATTCTCTGGCAACGGTTTTTAGTTGATTCTGAAACATTGAAAAGGATACACAAAAAAATGAAAGAAACCGCTAATAAATCCTGCTTTGCACAAGTTTGAGAATTAGTGAAAATAGATGTAGTTTGAAATTGATTAATTGAATAATAATATTAATATTGGTTTGTAACATAAACTTATTCGGTTAAACTTAATACGTATTATTTGCAAGTACCACATTTTCTCCTCCCCACCCCCATGCGCCATGTCCACTTTTGAAGTGAATCTCGCATATAATGAAACACCTTTATAAAATCCTAACTGACTCACTGACTTAGAGATATTAATTTTTGTTTGAAAATATCTAAGCAATTAAATCGGGAAAAAATTACCTTCAAACCTCTGGACCTAGAGGTTGACATTTTTTTAAAACGGCATCTAATAAAAACGGAGTTTTCGAAATCCGACCCCCCAAGGGGGTGAAAAAGGGAGTTGAAATTTATTATTTTTTCAGAAACGGTTAGATCTAAAAGCATGAAATTTGGTAAAAATATTTTTTGTTGAAATTGTTATACATATATAAGACGAAATTTCGATTTTTGTTTTTTAAAGAGGTGGAAATAGAGATAGTAGGTGGTCTAGAGAGTATCTGTGTATCAGAAACTTAATTTCATAATATTCAGACAATGAATCTTTCTGAGAAAATAAAGATTTGTTAAGGAAAAGGAAAAAATAAGTAAAGAAAATTAAATTAATTAATTAAGAAGGCCTCTAAGAAGACCACGCGAAGCACAGGTAATCGACTAGTATACGATATTATATACATTTGTGATATTATTTCGTTTTATTTTAAAAAATATTTATTAACAATGGATTATTATTAAAAAATAGAGCATAGATGTATTATCTTCAAGAAAAGATAACATTTTCGTATGGGAATTCCCAGAAATTATTTTTCCTTGAACAATGTATCTTAATTAGAATGATTTGAATTATGCAACAGTTTTCTGTATTGTTGAATGTGACACACATCACGTTACCAAGGTTAACTTTATGCAAATAAAATTAGGTGAATGCCAGTTTTTTTATAAGAAATGTAGAGAGCAGCGATGATAATGTTTCCAATATATTTTGTGAAACTCAGTAAATCGTTAAATTTGATTTTTTACAAACATGTAACCAGAATTTCTTATTTCTTGTATTATAATTATTAAAATGAATTTTTCCTTACTATATAAATATTTACATATTTCTCAACAAGTGCTTCGCAGTAACTCAAATGGAACTAAAAATATGTATGACATATTAAATATTTTTTGTTATTAAAGATCGTCCGATCATAGGAAGCCAGTGGTGTAGGTAGGATATTCTTTCAGCCGTGATTCATAAAACAGGAGTTCCAGTGATGACGAGTTGAAATTTATGCAAATAAACAACCAGAGTTTACAGCAATGGTATTTCAGCGGCTTGTTATTCCCATAACGGTAAAAACGTGACAGATACAACAGAAGGATAGTAGTCGGAAGGAAGGGAAACCTGTACTCCTCGCTTGCTTTCTTGAGACCATGATTGGTAGTGTTCGTTAGTATTCGTCTAACTGTTGCATCGGTTAGTTTGGTTACTTTGGGTTCTTCCATAATATATTTTTAAGAAGTTTTCAAAGGGACAGCGCAAATCGTGGTCGTATGCGACCAGCGCTACATCCTTGAAAGCATTAAGGGAGGTAGGTCCACCAATGTCTGAATCATCTTTCACAACTATTTTTTGAGATGACGTGAGCTTCTTTTATTGATCTTCGCGGATAAAAAAGTGGCAAACGATTTTGTAAGTGAACAAACAATATCAAAGATTGCCGAATATTAAATTTCCTTCGTTGATTACTTATTACAGGTGGTTAACATTTCTCAGATTGTGAAAATCGGTACGAATCTGTAAATCGGGTTTCGGGGACTTGTATAGAATGTGTATAAACTGGTATAAACTTCTGCTGTACTACTTTCTAATTAATAAGTAGATTCCGCTGACTAAACTATTTGAAAAAATAAAATTAGAGAAATGTACGGTAAATTCATGTAATGAATGAAAATTTTAAAAGTTAATATTTTTCGAAATAATCACTAATAGAAATAAAATAATACTTTTTATTTATTAAATTTTGAATGTCATGCAAATTGAAATTGTATATTTTTAAAATTATTATAACTAAATAATTTTTTTGAATAGTTAAGTATTTTGTGCCTTTTTTTTATTATAAATTCAATCTTAAAATGTATATCATATTACTTAAATAATTACCATTAAATTAATTAATTATTACTGTACTATATTTAATCTTCAAATATTATGAAAACAACAAAATGATTATTTTATAAATTATGTAAAATTTGTTTGTTAATACATACGTAAATTTATAATGTAAAATAATGTGTATAAATTATAGAATGTACAAATATGTTCACCATTATGTTATTTGTTACTTTTTAAATTATTTGTTTTATAAGTTCTGTAATAACAATCTAACAATTGTTAGTGTCTGATTGATTTGAAAGATTATTTTGAATATCAGTGCAATGTGTTTTTAAATTTTTTTTCCTCTTCTATTATACACATGGCTATAGATATCAATGATTCATGTTTCTAGATTTAATACATAATTACTCAAAGAAAAACCAGTTTGACAATTTGAAATATTGATGATTATCAAATTATGCAACATGATATTGCTCATATTTATATTATAGAGATATAATTTTTTAACTTGTTCTATTGTTATGTAATTTTATATATGTTATACTATATAAGTTTACTATAAAATTTTGATAACAATACAAGTACAATTACAATTTTATTTAATTAAAAATAATTCTAATTCATATGAATTTTACAGAAGTTACAACAATGGATTGGCAATGGTTCCACATTTTTCTCAGTTACCTAATTGTAACAACAGTTGCAGAATCGTAAGTGTATTTATATTTTACTCATTTTATTAATTTAGTACCAATTTAGATAATTTTAATTTAATATGCCAATGTTTTAAAAGGTATTACAGTATAATAGCTCCAAAGGTGATCAGACCTGATTCAGAATATCACGTAGCAGTGAGTACCACTGGTGTATCTACAACATCACAAATATACATTGAAATAAATGGAGTACTCGATAATGGAGAAGTATTCAATGTGTCTCAAGTTACAAACATACAGCCATATTCTACAAGAATCTTACAATTCGAAGTAAGTCTCCTGAAATTTTAAAACTCTTTTCTTTAATAATCGTAAATCTTCTTATAAATTTTAGATTGGGGATATTATACCTGGTAAATATCTACTATCTGCACGTGGCCTCTCAGGAATAGAATTTTCAAATTCAAAACCGATCGAATATATACATAAAAGTCACTCTGTATTTATTCAAACTGACAGAGCAATTTATAAACCAGGGAATAAAGTTATGTTCAGATGCATTTTATTGAATTCTAGACTGAGACCTTCGTTAGATAGATTATCAGATATTTATATTATGGTAAATATAACTTAGATAAATATTATATTGTAAATAAAAGGAATAATGAAATGTATGGCAATCTTAGGATGGGAAAGGAAATAGAATCAAGCAGTGGTTTCATCCACCCATAACACATGGAATTTTTAACGGAGAAATTGAATTGTCCGAGTCACCAGTTTTAGGTGTTTGGAAAATTATCTCAAACATTGGCGATCAAACTTTTGAAAAGGAATTTGAAGTTGCTGAGTATGTTCTTCCAAATTTTGAAGTGACCATTAATGCTCCTAATCATGTTACATTCAAAGAATCGAAGATCACGGCAACAGTTTACGCTAAGTAAGTTAATTATAGTAATTAGGTAAATCTGTTTTACTTGTTGTTTATAATTTACCTTTTGCTTCGTGATCGTAACAAAATGCATAATTTACTATTTCAAAATTTCCCATAGAAGGTTTGACAAAAATTATTTATTTCAAAGTGCAAATCATTTAGGTATACTTATGGTAAACCAGTGAAAGGAGAAGCTACAGTTACGGCATATCCAGATATTTTCTCTGGTGTCATTCAACCAATATTTCAGCAGCCTGTGCGAAAAGTGCTTCCCATTGACGGCAAAGTAGTAGTCGATTTTGATATTCATTCTGAACTTAGGTATGACTAATTTAATAACAAGTCGTTAAAAAAGATAAAAACTCAGTTTCATTACATTTCCTTTTTTTACAGATTAACCGATGAGTTTGAAAGACCAGTTATGATTGATGTTACAGTGGAAGAATCTTTAACTGGTAGAACACAGAATACCTCCATGCAAATAACGCTACACAAACATAAATACAAAATGGACTTAATAAAAACATCGGAATACTATAAACCGGGTTTAAAATATACAGCATATGTGCGTATATAAAATAGTTTTTTGGGTCGCGAAATTTATTTCAACAAGACTGGTTTTTTTTTTAGATAAAATTGACGTATCACGATGGAACTCCAGTACGAGACGACACGAATCCTGTTGTAATAATGTATGGATATAATTATAATCAATCTGCATACACTAATATCACCCGTATGTTGGATAAAAATGGAATGATACAGTTGGATTTCTATCCATCAAAAACTAAGGACAATACTTCCCTTTCTTTAAATATTGAGGTAAAAAATATCATAAGAAATTTTTATATTAAAAATTTCAAATTCTTGCGCTAATAAAGAAAATTTTTACAAACAGGCACAATACTTAAATCTTCACGAATGGTTCCCTTCTACAAATCAAGCTATGTCTTTAAGTAACGAGTACATACAAGCTGTATTAAAAACTGAAAAGCCCACAGTATGTGTTAGCTTTAGACTATTTTATACATACAAAAATCAGCATTAATTATGTCTTTTTTTATTTTACAAGGTCAATCGAGAGATTGAAATTGAAGTAAATTCTACAAGTCCATTGAAATATATTAGTTACGAGATATTTGGACGTGGTGATATATTGGATGCTGGTTCTATTTACGTACAAAATAAATACACAACATCTTTTTCGTAAATATTTCGTATATTATAATCATGAAGTAATTCATTTGTTATTCATTCGTAGAAATGAAAATGTATTTTTAGGTTTGTAGCAACATATGTCATGGCTCCTACTGCACATGTAATTGTGTATTACATAGGAAATGATGGAGAAATTATTGCGGACGCTTTGGACGTAGAA